TATACAAAGAGCACTTCCACTCGTGAGCACAACTTGGGATCTTGCCTACCCAGGTCACAGTCTGGCCAGACCACCAGAGAGGGAATGGAAACACCAGGCCCATAAACAGGACAAGAAATGGCTTCTCATCTATGTTGTACATTAGGTAGCCCAGAGGCCCATGGCATTTAACACACCCCGCTGAGATAGAAAGTGGTGTGCTTCCTCTATAGTGCCCACCAGACTGCGAACCGGGTCAGGCAGACTTGCTGATTTGGAGACTTGCATGTCAACTCCCCATTCCTGCCCAAGCCTCATTGGAGTGAATTAATCCAAATCGTCAAAAGAAGAAAAAAAACAGAAAGTGGTAGGAATCTAAGCAATTTTGGCATATGCGCCCATGCATCTGAACCCAGGGAGGGCACATACCAGATAAGACTACCTCTCAAAGGTTGCCCAAGGCTGGTCTTTTGATTACTGAGCCCTTTTAATACCTGTGGACATTTCGGTACAGGACCAGCTAAGGCCCTTCCTCCTTTCTGAGGCTAATGCCCTAAGATAAAGCTACTTGTCAGAAGCTCTTTGGTGTCTTCTGAAAACATTGTGGCTCTTCAGAGTAGCCCACGGCTGGAATAAAGATATACATATATATAAATATTATATTTGGCAATTTCCCATTAGCAGGGGCTAAGAAGAGCAGCAGCCCAGCTTCTCGGCTAACGTTAGGCGTCTGTTTGCCCTCCTCCAAAAGGCAGTGTCCCCCTGGTTTTCTCCATCATCTGCTGCTCCCACCATCCCCACTCAGATATGTGATTGCTGGAGGACATATCCATCCACATCCTTTATCTCCCTCTTTCCCTTTCTTACAAAACCCTTCAAATCCAGCACCATATGTATTAACCACCAATGGATGCCATTATTCCTATGCAATGCAGCTTTAACAGATGGAAGCCCGCCTCTATGAAATTCCCTGCTTCCTCGACATGATCCTGTCTGTCCCTGAACTGCTTTGAATGGAAATCTCTTTCCTGTTTTCAGGGTATCAACTAGTGAGGCCTATGTGACTCTTTCCCCCTCCGACACCTGATGCATCCGAAAAATGTGGTGGAATGCAGATTACTTCCTAAACAGAGTTGGTGAGAAATACGCATATATTTAATTTAATGCGCCCCCCCATTAAACAAAATTGTGTTAAGCCATTTGACAGCTAAACCAATGGAAAAAGCAAAGATTAATTTTGACTGGCCCCTAGATCTGTTGAGGTCTGTAACTGTAGAAGTTTATGTAAACAATGAGATAAATATATTAATTTTTTTTTCTGAGCCAAGCGAGGTTCCATACTCATTTCAAAATGTGCTTTGGTTTAAAAAATAGTTTTGTGGATTTGGGTATGAGCTATCTTTTCTTTTATTTTTAATACAACTTCTTCTACTTTATTCTTTATTTTCCTCTCCTGTTATTCCGAAAACATTCTGGATCTAAACTGACTAAAGCATATCATCAAGCTGCCAGGCCCCTGCACTTCAAAAGAAAGAAAGAAAATCCTCAGGAGGCTCGTTCTGTATCTCCAAAAAAACAAAACAAAAAACAGAACCAAAAAAATGTAATTCCTTCCCCACCCCACCCAACAAACTCTTAAAATCTTAAATATGAAACTAGTGTTTTGCTTTTTCATTAAAATACAGAAAATGCTTGATACAATACTATGTCGTACAAATGCAGTTGAGTGTTCAGACCCTCTAAATGAGCCCTGAACAGTCCCTGAAGTTTTGAGTATTATTCGGTTTTCTTTTTTCATTATTATTGTCACAATTTGGAAAGAAGTCATCATTCGGTATTATATGGAACACAACTCTATACAACTACTTTCGAAAAAAAGGGGGGATGAAGGGGGGGGGAAAGAAAAAGGAGAAACTCCCCCTCCCCATTTTTGTACAATACTCACGCTGTACACAGACTTTTTGTCATGTTAAGTGCTGAGGGGAAGAAATAAAAAATAAAATAAAAAGGAGGCTCCTTTAACAATAATTAATGAACAAGAGGGGGGGACACACACCCAACAACAAATGGTTCCTGAAACTTCCAAGATTGCCAAAATTTCAAACCATTAGCAAAAGGAAACCCAAATCAAGCCTAACATTTCTACCTTGCCCACCCCAACAACTATTGGATGAAAGAATTTTTTTTTGAGGGATCATAGGATAGTTTGCTCTCCACAACTCTTGAGCTCCTCTTTGGATAACTACAGGAGGACATTTAATAACCAAACAGCAACTTGCTATGTATACAACCAGACAAAAGATGCAATTCCCTGCAGCACCTGCCTCCCAGAAAGAATACTTTTAAGCGCACATCTTGGCCACCGGAAAGGGGGGGGAAAAAGGAGTGGTAAAAAATGTCACAAAGTGGGAATGGGTGCTACAAAGGACTTGGTTAAGGAGCCGCTCGAAATTCACTTGCTCCTTTGGCTCAGCAAAAAAGTCTGTCGTGCGTTGGACGGGTCTTGACCACCAGGGCGATGCCTTGCCTTGGCATTAATGCTATTTTTAATCGTGGTCATTGCCAGTTGAAAGGAAAGTGCGCTGGGCGGGGAAGAGGAAAACCTTCGCGCAAACTGCGGCATGGAATGGAGAGAACCGCTGTTGCTTTGTAACTGCAACAGGAAAAGCAGGGGGGTGTGTGTGGCGAGAAAGAGTTAGGCATTCTGCTTTCTTTTCTTTCTTTTTTTGGAGGGTGAGGTAGGAATAAAAAGCAGAGTGAATCTCAACTCTTGGCTTCAGATACCAGATTACTGGCTCAGGACTTGGTTCCAAAGGCATCTCAAGAGTAGAAAGGGTGGGGAAAGGGGTCTGGATAACGTGAGAAGGAAGCTGACGGGGAAGACCCGAGCCCTGTCGGTTTGCGCTGTTCAAAAATAAAATAAAATAAAAATCAACACCTGTGCCCTTTGGCTCCTGGGTGGGGGGAACAACCCCGCCGATCGAGGCCTTACGTCCCTCAAAGTATGAATTCACAGGTGCTGGTTTAGTTTTTATCTGGCTTTGGCAAGGCATGTGCACCAAATCCACCACGGATATCTCTACGTGAACGTCTGTGGTGGCTGTGCAGTGCAGATCTCATATAATCTAACACCTGCAACACAACTGGGTCTGGTCTATTACACAGGGGCACTGCAATCCATTAACCTCTAGCGGATCTTTATTATGGAGCTCCACAGTCAGCAAGGACCTTCCTTTTAATTTCATGTATGTGTGTGAGCAGCTTGGAGCACACAAAAGGATGTTTAAAAAAGAGTGGGAAAGCCTCTCCCCGCTCTGAACTCCCAAGTTGCCTACAGGGTTGAAGGTGAAGATTTACAGGCTACGTTATTTTATTTTTTCATCGCCTCCCACAAAGCAGACTGTAGATTGAATCCAGACTTAAGTCCTACTGAGGTCAGTAGGCCCATATGACTTAAGTCTGTATCCAACCCAACGGTAGTGTTTTGTTTTTTAACAGAAAAAAAAGAAAAGGAAATGCATCTTATGATTTTTTTTTTTTGGGGGGTGGTGGTGGTCTTAGAACGAACCATTCCACATCAGTGCTCTGTTAGCATCTCACAAAACCTACATGAAAATCAAAATGGCGACACTAGAACAAGGGAATTAGAAAGCAGCCCGACATTGCGTGAGGCAAAGTTATACGGAATGGGGAAGGAACTTTTTTTTGTAACGCGACAAGACAAAATACAGTTGCGTTTAATCTGTGGCCTTCCAAATATTTCCAGACTACACCTCCCATCACCCAATATTATTGACCTTGCTGGCTGGGAGTTGAGAGACAGGGATATCTGGAAGCCTTTCCTGCATGGAGGTCTGAGTGACCCAAAACACTTTATACGGTCTATTTCTTAAGAGGAAAAAAAGTTTTTTTTGGGGGGGGGGAAGAGGGAGAAAAATAATAATGAAAGCTTATCTTTGTTTTTTATTTGAATATGCTCAACTTTTTTTCTTTTTTTTTGGTCTAAACTTAAAAAGACACAAGATTTTTTTCCTTTTCTGAAGAAAAAAAAAGACATAGGGCTTTGGTGAACCCTACCAATAATAATAATAATAATATTAATAATAATAATTATAATAATAATAATAAAGAGAACAATGGTTTTGAGCAAGAAAGTTAAAGCGGAAAAAAAATGTAAACCTTACTCAATTTTAGACAGGATGATTCTAAAGGGACTGCAAAAAATGTTTTACCACCGCACTACCCCCCAACACACTGGGGGGCAATGGTGGTGGTGGTGGAGAAGCCATCGCTTTCCCCAAAAAGTCACGCCAACAAAGTCAAGGGGCCACAAAATGGCGGGCGATAGACTCTGTCCGCTCCTCTAAAACCTATAGCAGCTGTTGGCTGTGAAGTCTTCTACAGAGGCCGTTGGAAACGTTTGCTCTTCCGAACTTTCCAACTCGTGTGTGGCGTGCGTTTTAAGATTTCCTTGACGACTGCCATCGCCGCCATCATGAAAAGAGCAGGGGGAAAATACCACACACCCCGCCATATCTCCCTCACCACCACCCCCTCAACGAAAAGGGAGGATATGAAACACTTTGGTTGGGCTTCCCACACACTCTTATTGCACTCTGGATCCTAGGAAAACGCCGCCTGCTACAACGCCGTTCCCTTATCCTGTCAGATGGTCACTTTTTTTGCTAATCCAGATGTGTTAAGGAAAGCAACGGACAGTAGACATTCTTTCCCCCACAAAAAATACAGCATCCAGGTGCAATAAAACAAAGCTGGAAAGAGCCCAGAAGCTCTTAAAGAAAAGAAAAAAAGTTTCCTCATGGACAGAAAAATCTGTAATTTTGGTGAAAAGCCAGCGCCCCCCTACAGCACTATTCACTCGGGCTTCTGGCTTGCAATCTACCTATTGTCTTTGGCCAAGGTTTGCTTCAAAATGCTCATTTTAAATGGACTTCTTGAGGGGAGGATGAGGTGGCAAAAAAATCCCTTAAACGTTTTAATTTAGTTTCTACTTTGTACACTTACTTACAAAGGGGGGGGGGAGGAAGAGGGGCAAGGGGGACAAAAACGCCACACCTAATATTTCACTAACCATCTTATTGTTCTCATGAATTCAAGAGGTAGCAAAGGGAACGGGCCGAACCCGTTCTTTAGTGAGGGAGAAAAAAGCTAAACACACACGCACACACACACACACAAAATAAAGATGTACCTAAAGGAACTTGTAGCAATTCCAGCCTATTATCAAACCCACTCCCTGCGCCCACTCTTATGTTAAGAGTTACCTCAAAACCTTCCAGTTCCAACAATTACATAAACGTTTTAACAATTTTCTTTTTTTTCTCTTAATAAAACAAGTACCTCTAAGCAAAGAATATCCATACGAACTATTGGTTTTTTGGGGCGTGGGGGGGAGAAACATAAAAGACGACCCCTGCTCAGCTGAAGTAAATTCCCCAGGGGCGCCCGACTCCCATTCAGTCATGGAGAAGGTTGAAGTAAATTTAAGTAAGGTATAGGACAAAAACATGGAGGTGAAGAGGTACATGTTTGGTGTGCAACGGCTAAGTAGGCCGAACTCCATCGATGAAAAATAATGGTGGGGTGGGGAAAAGAAAAATATGCCACCTTTCATAGACTGAAAGCATGCAAAAACTATTGAGGATTCATTAAGACTCTCCCCCATGTGAGAGACGGTCAACTGACTGGGCCACCAACAAAATTTTCCTCAACAATAAAAGAAATTCTGAGGCGTTTTCTGAGAAAAGAAAAAAAATAACGATAATAACAGCAAAACGAATTGGATTCTGTGGCAAGAAATGCTCCCACCGGTAGCTTTTAGGGACAACAACCAATGTCAATGGTTAGGAGAGCAGGGGGTGAGCGGAAATTAAGGCCCATGGCTAGGAAAAACAGCCACAGGAACCGGAAAAGTCTGTGCGCAACATCCATCTGCATTTGGGGGGGGGAGAGGAATAATACTTGGGTCAAGTTTTAGAAACGGAAATCCAAAGTGCTAAGAAAGGAAAGTGAGGGATATGAAGCAGCTTACGGCCGGTCTTTCCTCCCCACCCCAATCGCAAGGATCGACACCTTTGGGCAGCCATTTCCAATTAGCATCAATTGGGAAGGAATTTCTTCCACCTCACCCCCCCTTTTCTCTCCACACCTGGGCTTATAGTTAAGCTAGATGTCCCCACAACCTTAAGCAGAGTAGTGGCATTTCTTGACCTAAACGGCAAAGAAAAAAGAAAAAAAGAGGGGTGGGGGTGGCATGGGGGAGAAAAATGCAAATGGGGAGACAGCAGCTTCATTGTGGGCTGGCTTTTCTTTGTATATTTGGAGTTTGGGGGGGGACGGGGAAGAGAAAGAAATAAAGCTCTGCTTGTTTGAGGCCCCCCCATGACTGAACAGGGACGGGAACGGCCCTTATTTGTTTCTTTCTTTTTCTTTCTTTTTTTTAAAGCAGCAAGTCTAGGGAAAGGTATATGTTTATGGCGGGTGGGCTCAGAGCTCATTGCAGAGTCTTTGGCTTTATGTAGGAGAGGTATGCATTCGCAGGTGGCTGATGAGATTGCGCTGCTGGGTGAACTTCCCGCCACACAGCTGACATTCGTAGGGCTTTTCCCCTGAGTGGACGCGCATATGCTCTGTCAGTCGGTACTGCCGGGTAAAGCGCATCCCGCACTCCTCGCATGCAAAGGGCTTGAGGCCCAAGTGGCTGCGCATGTGACGCGTCATGGTGCCCCGCTGCGTGAACATCTTGCCGCAGATATTGCATGGGAAAGGCCGCGTCAGCCAGTGAGTCTTCTCGTGCTGCCGGAGAGTGGCCGGGTCTTTGTAGCTCTTCTCGCACACAGAGCATTTGAAGGGCCGCGACTCCGTGGTGTAGGGCTGGTTGGGGTTGGACAGATCCTCCGCTTCCTCCTCTTTGTCGTCGTACGTCCCTTCCTCCTTGATGTACAGGTCTTCCTCGGTGTGTTTCTCCACGTGGGCGTTCAGCTGCTCGGAACTGGGGAAGCCCTTCCCGCACGGGATGCAGACATAAAGGTTGTCCCCAAAGGCCACCGGGTCGTAGCCTTCCTGCCGGTAGACGTAGTTGGCGCTAGTGTGCCCGCCACTCTCGCTCTCGCTCTGCCCGCTGTCGTCGCTGTTCTCCTTCCCGTTCTCGACATCCTCTTTGCAGGTGAACGGCAGCTCCGACCCGTAGGCGCCCAGGCCGAGGCTCCGCTCCGCCGACTTGCACAAGGGGCCCATCAGGATCCCGTTGGGCAGTCCTTCGCTCTCCTCGCCGCCTTTGCCGCTGCCCTCCTTCCTGTCGAAGGCGCTCTCTTTCTTGAGCCACTCCTTCTTGCGCGACGAATGGCGCAGGCTTTTTCTCTGGCTGCCTTCCGGGAGGGACTGGCGGTCTTCGCTCAAGTCCATTTCCATGGGTTCGCAGTTGTCGGGGAGGTTGGGCGCGGCTCCGGCGGCGGACTCGTCAAATGATGAGGCACTGTTGGCTGCAGGGGCTGAGGCAGGTCGGGGGGAGCCACGCTGGCTTTCGCCGTGGGGCGTGTCGTCCTGGGACGGTGCCGGGGGAAGCGAGGGGCTTTTCTTGGACAGGTCGAGGCCCAGCTCCTGGTCCCCGCTGCTCCCGTTCGCACTGCTGCTGCTCCCGTCTCCGCCGTTCTTGCCGATCCCCCTACTCAAGGCATGGGAGTTCTCTTGGTTGGAGCTGCTGATGAAGACCTCGTCGTCCGAGATCTTCCCCTTTGGCATCTCCTTCAAGTGAGAGCCCTTCAGCCCCTCGGCTGACCCTGAATAACGAGTGATGACTGAAGCAGTGGAAAGTCTCTGACTCCGAGGGGGTCTCCCGACGCTGGGGGCGCCGCCGGCCCTGCCAGCGAAGGACCTCCCGTTGCGTTTCAGCTTCTTCCTGCAGAGGGCAGCTAGGTCGGGTAGCTGGAGGTAGCTTGCGGCCGTGAGGAGAGCATTGAAGTTCTGTTCACCAGGCTGGTCGGTCATTAAGAGCTTCCCAGTATAAATAAAGTCCAAGATTTGCCGGAACACTGTGGGGTTGACCATGTCGGTATCTAGGTTGATCAGGTTGTCGTGCAGGACGAGGGATTTGAAGTACATGCTGCTGGCTGCGAGGATATTCTTGTGGGCACGGAAGAGGGCATTTTCCACGACAATGATCACATCACAGAGGAAACCTTTGGCTCGTTGCTGGTTTAGTTGCAGCAGCAGTTGTTTGGCATGATTTGGCAGTTCCATCTCCACCTTCTCTTCCTTTCCCCGTTTACTTTATTACCTGCAAAAAAGAGAGAAGCAAACAGAACGAAACAGTGAGCCCATTGGCCACTTGCACCAGCATCTCTTACCTCAAGGAACCTATGGCCCTCCAGATGTTGCTGGATTAAAACTGCTATCATCCCTGGCCACACTGGCTGGTAGGGATGATGGAAACATCTGGAGGGCCACAGGTTTCCCCATCCCTGTGCTACATGCATTTCAAACACTGCCCAGATTTTATTTATCTTTTTAAATACACAATTAGGTGCTTTTAGGGTCCCAGTATAGAACACTGCATGTCTTGAGGGTCTCCCATCCCTGTAGGTAGTTCTCTTGCTAGTGTATTTATTTCATTTCTACCCCTCCTCTCCTCCAAGGAGCTCAAAAGGGCATACATGGTAGGCCTGGGCGATACATTGCCCAAAGCCAGAGCATGGTGGTGCCTTCACCTGGCGTTATATCGCGGGTGGGGCTTGCCTGCGCCCAAGTCCCTCTTCTAATGCAGTGTTTTTCAACCACTGTTCCGCGGCACACTGAGATGTTGCCTGGTGTGCCGTGGGGAAAATTGAAAAATTCGAAAGATTTAAAAATAAAGTATTTTATAATTTTTCACATTTCTGTTTACTTACTATTTCATAATAAAGTAATTATAAAATACTTTCTTTGTGTTTATTTGATTCCTATTCAAGAGAATTACTTTATATATAGTCAATATAGGCACAGAGTTAAATTTTTTAACATTTTCTAATGGTGGTGTGCCTCGTGATTTTTTTTCATGAAACAAGTGTGCCTTTCCCCAAAAAAGGTTGAAAAACACTGTTCTAATGCACAGACCTACGGTCTTCTGCATGTCTAGAGGACTCAGAATGTATAAACTGCAACGATTTCAGAAAGGTTCCATTTTGCTTCCTGCGTGACAGGAAGTCAACCAGCTGAGTTTGCTATCAGAAGGCATAGCTGCTGCAACTGAGAACACATTTATCAGCGTTTACTACCTGAAGAGACAGTGATGCCAGGTGGAAGGAAAGCAGTGGGCAGCCATTTTGCATCCATATTAATAAATCTAAGTGAGTGCATGTTACCATCAAGATGCAGTTGGTCCACAGCTCAGAGATTTATTCTTAGCAGACATAACAATATCCCCTGCGCAAGACCAAACACGGACAGTGATTTACTAGAGACAGTTACCAGAACATAGCGGGAAATTGGCCTGCTTATAAATGCTGAGGCTAATGAGCACTAACAAACAAATCCAACCCTACTGAACCGGTTTAATTCTGAACCATCTTTGGGGCCCTGGCGAGGCTGGAGAGGCAGCATCATAAAACGTAATCAAAACCAAGCCATCCAAGAATGAAACCAAACCAAGCCTTGGAGAGCCAGAATTAAGGTGCAGCAGAGAGGGGGAACCGCATTTTGAAAAGACCTTTACGATGGGTTATAAAAGGTGTTTCCCAGCCCACTGAAGCAAAGCAGGATGAAACCTCTTGTGAAACATACACAGTACTTCTATATCTTCAAGTCTGCCAGCCCCCTCCCCAAGGAACACCGCCAGGACTGCAGTATGGCAGAGTCCTGATATTAAAAATTGAAAAGATCTGCATTGATACCTAGTCAAAACCTGGGGGTTGCTTATCAGAACAGCGCTCTGCAATGAACCAAAGTGAATCGTCATTACGTGGACAGCAGGGAAGGGCTGTAGGAGCTGGACTTCCTATCATTTCTGTCTTAGAAAAATACCTGGGTATCATTACCAAGAGTGCTGTAGAACTACAGACCCTCCCTTTGTTCTTCCTTTACTCGCTGGAAGAAAAGGTGGGACAGACCGCCCACCCCACTCCCAAGTGAGGTACACAGAGAAACACATGAAAGGGAGAATGTTAACGGGGATCGCCCTCCCACAAAGGATGCTCAAAGAATTTCTCGTGGGGGTGAATGCAACATTTGTGGCAGGGAAGGCAGAACAGAGAAAAATGAAATGAATCAGCCCCATTTGTTTCAGTCTGTGTGGTGAACTGGGATGGGGGGCACCCAGAAATCCCCCACCCTGCAATGCCTCAACTGTGGAATTCTCCCCCTGAAGAGGCCCATCTGGCACACATGCCAGTACGTTTTAGGCACCAGCATTTAAAAATAATGTACGCTTTTTAATTGTAACATTAATAATTTGCTTGTTTCTCTCTCTCCCACCTCCCTTTTTCCTGTTGTGCTGTGGCTGGGAGTGGGGCCTATGCAGCTTTTTATTGCTCTATAAGCTGAAGAGAAGGGCAGAAATACTTTAAAACAAGCCTTTTGCCGGTTGTTCCTAAAAACATTTGATGCTGCCATGATTGCTTAGTTCTGTTGATTTATTCTGCAACTGTACTTTTACTGACATTTTGTGAAGGGAGGGCCTACTTTATGGTGGCTCCACATTTCTGGATCTGCCTTTTAACACCCATTTGTCCAGGCCTTGGGGGAAGGGCAGGATGCACTGTGATTTGTTCCTGTTGACTGCATTTTTGTTTTAACCTTGCTGTGCTTTTCTCTGGCTGTTGCTGATGATAATTTAGGATTATTTTGCTTTGCTCTTGTACAATTATTATGATTACAAAACATTTGGTTGCACCTTGCCTCAAGACTACTCGGGTGAAGAGCGGCCTGTAAATATACGAGATGAATTAACATGTGAAATACATTGCTGTAAAATTTTAGAAATTAAAGGACAGAATAGTACAGAGTAAAAACAAAACAAAAAAAGATTTGCCACAAAACTCCAAAGGCTCTGGGGCCTGGTTCACACAACACAGTACACCAAACTACTGGAACAGCACAAACATGTGAACTCCTGAAGAGGAGTTTGCAGATATTTTCTTCCTTCACGGTCCTGTTTTTCCACTGCCGGCCTAAGCCAAGCCAAAGTTTGACTTGTTCTGTCACCCAGACTGGGATTCCTGGTTAACATTCTCTCCTAACGAGCCACAAGCTGTATCCACGGGGAGAGAGGGAAGGAGAGAACACAATGGCAAGTTATAATGAGCTGGATAGCTCAGTTGGTAGAGCACAAGACTCTTACTCTTAGGGTTGTGAGTTCGAGCCCCATGTTGGGCAAAGTATTCCTGCATTACAGGGGGTTGGACTAGATGACCCTCGTGGTCCCTTCCCAACTCTATGATTCTAAGACACCACTCAGTCCATGCTGTGCAACAGTAAAAAAGAAAAATGGCACAGGTAAGAAGAAACCAACAGCAAGCTCCTTTCCAGGAGCCCATGCCTTTGTGCTGTCCCAGTAAGGCAGGCATAGAGAACCTTCAGCCCTCCAGCTGCTAATGAACTGCAACTCCCATCATAATTAGCTATTGGCCACGTTTGCTGGGGCTGATGGGACCTGTAGTTCAGCCACAACTGGAAGGCTAAAGGTTCCCCAAGCCTGCAGTCAGTCTGGCCTACCATGTTGTCCAAAGGAGGCTCTAAAAAGCACCTGAGTGCCAGAAGGACGGAAGTGAATGAGCAATGCAGCTCTACTGAGGAAGGGAGTCCCACAGTTTGGTCCCCACTGCCACAAAGGCCTTAACCCAAGGAGTTGCCCGAGGATGGCACATGGGGTGGGGCCTCTGAGGAAGACCTTAATAAGGGGGCTGGTCCTTGCTCCATACAGTGTTAGTTTGCAACAACCCTTCATCGTAGGGCTAAGATGTTTAAAAGAGAGAGAGAGGTGCAAAAAAATATGTAAAGGCAATGCAAGAGAATCAACCTGCGGTAGGAGTATACAGGTTATAAACAGCGCTATTCAATCAGATAGGTTGGAAACAGGGAGCTAATATATACAGCTGGGCTGCCCACTGCATTACTGGTCCTACAGGAATTGCTGCATTCGCATTAGACACATGCCAAAGCGTTGGCCGCTGGCCAAAATTTCAACGCACAATTAAAGGATGAAAAGAAGCAGATAGAGGTCTTAGCATAAGCTGCCCAGCCCCGAAAGGAAATGCCATTGCCAAATGGAAAAAAGGACGGCAAAGCCAGATCTTTATTTTTATTTTAAAACCAGAATTGTACTTCCATCAGCCGGCAGGAGAGCTTCCATGGATGTGAAACTTGAAGGCAAACCTGCAAATTCAGGGCCTCCAAAGCAAAGATGGAAGGCACGTAACACAGAAACGCTGCTGGAGGAGAATGGGCCTGGATGGGAGAACCACCTGGGAACCCCATGCAAGCACTTCTTAAGCTCCAAAATGGAAGGAGGGCAGGTTGCACATTTCACCAACCAAACCAACAACAACCCAGAGGAAGCGTAACCACAACTCTTAAGGCTACATCAGCACCATCTATTTAAAGCACTAAAAAGGTAAAGGTACCCCTGCCCGTACGGGCCAGTCTTGACAGACTCTAGGGTTGTGCGCCCATCTCACTCAAGAGGCCGGGGGCCAGCGCTGTCCGGAGACACTTCCGGGTCACGTGGCCAGCGTGACATCGCTGCTCTGGCGATCCAGAGCCGCACACGGAAACGCCGTTTACCTTCCCACTAGTAAGCGGTCCCTATTTATCTACTTGCACCAGGGAGTGCTTTCGAACTGCTAGGTTGGCAGGCGCTGGGACCGAACAACCGGAACGCACCCCGCTGTGGGGATTCGAACCGCCGACCTTTCGATCGGCAAGCCCTAGGCGCTGAGGCTTTTACCCACAGCGCCACCCGCGTCCCTTATTTAAAGCACTACTGTGCCACTTTAAGTAGTCATGGCTTCTCCCAAAGACTCCTGGGAACTGTAGTTCATGAAGAGTGCTGAGAGTTGTTGTTAAGAGACCATCATTCCCATGGGTAGGCAAACTGAGGCCCGGGGGCTGGATCCGGCCCAATCGCCTTCTAAATCCGGCCTGCGGACGGTCCAGGAATTAGCGTATTTTTACATGAGTAGAATGTATCCTTTTATTTAACATGCATCTCTGGGTTATTTGTGGGGCCTGCCTGGTGTTTTTACATGAGTAGATTGTGTGCTTTTATTTAAAATGCGTCTGGCTGTTAACCGTAAGGCCGGTAGT